ACTGAAGGCCCGAGGGCCTCGGGATCCTGAAGGTATCTGAATGTGAAAGCCAATAGCTGGCTTGATCAAAGCCGAAAACTGAAGGCTTTCTTTTTTAAAACTAGTGATAGCAAGCGATTTTCTGCCAATGCGAGTTTTGAGTCGCTTCGAGCGCTTCCGTTTTTCCTCATTCGCAACATGAGTGTCTTCAAGCTCTCGTTCGGTGTGCTGTCTTGTCTAGACTCTCTCCTGCTTGCGCTGTATCTCAGCCTTTGCAAAGCCGAGTAAAGCTATTAAGAATTACCTAATTGGCGTTTTTGACAGATTCTTTTCTTTTTTACTCACTTTCACTTCACTTCGCCTCTCTATTCATTTTGGATCTTTGGTGACCTTACAAAAAAGAGTCAAAAATTTGTTCTGGAATCAGTTTGAATCTGATCGCTGACTTACTGCTGCCCGATCAGACCACTAAGTTTATAATTTGACCTTGAATTATACACCTTACTTTCCTTCTTACTGCTACCCGATCAGAAAATACGCTATGAGTTTCAAAATTAGTACAGTGAACTCCAGTGTGACTGCCCAATTTTGTTGGGGCTAAACATCGAAAAAAACTTTTTTGCTTATTTGTGCACCTCATTTTAAGATTCACTTACGCGTATTGCGCGGAAAACTGCTTTAGGTTTTGGTGGTGAGCAAAGTGTGGGCAAAGCAGATTTCTCTCTAATGTGTCAGGTGATCCGAATTAAGGCTGCAGCAGCACCGTACGTGGAGTCAAGTCGGGATTTGCACTATGATCCATGGCTTAGATATTATTCGTGATCCGCAATGTGGACATCTTGACCCACACCAGGGAGAAACGAGTCCCATTCATTCTCGATACGTCGAGCACTTGCGAAGGTGAAAAAACGAAGCATGAGCTAAGTAAAGCTTTTATCCATGAAAACATTTGAACAACAACAGCAACAAATAAATAATTCATGTACATGAGGTTTACTATAAACTAAATCCAAGTAAGAGCTAGAGCATTCCCAGATCAGGCGACAGGACTATTGAGACACCCTCTCCATCAGAAGCAATAGGAGGTGAGAGTAGCGACGGACTGAGCACGAACGCTGTGTGATACATGGGAGAGAGAACCAGAGGAGACAGCAGTGCTGGGGATAGAATGACGGGAGAAGCAGCAGAGGAAAGAAGAAGCAGCCAGAGGGCTCAAGACCATTGGGGTGCGCAGAAGTGGGGATAGAATAATGGGGTTAAAAACTCCCGGTGACAAGATATAAGGTACCATAAGGAGGGGACTAAGAATAGCCGGACTAAAAATACCTGGTGATAGTACAAATGGGGACAATGCTACTGGGCGCAGAATGATCGAACGCCAATGTCGAACGGGATAGAAGATGGGCATAACGCCCAGGTGTATGTTATGAGAGCGGAAAACGCATGCGATAGATAAGTGGTCCATAAGAGTTGGAGAACGGACACAAGGCTTGAGGCAGCCACGGAGCAGAAACACGGAGTTCACATTGGCCAGCGGTGCATCTGAAACATCACTCAGGTACCAGCATTCGCAATTGTTCCAAAAATCAGACGAATATTGGCTAGCACGCCTCGCGGACCGCGACGCATTCAAGGGCACGCCCACTCTAGGTGACATATTATCCAAGCTACTCAAAGTGGGCGTGGTTTTCGCAACTGCGCTAACAGAAATGGTGTCGAAATGGCTACAGAACAAAGCGGACTCACTCACGAAAACCGCGCCTACGGTTGGCGCATTTATGAGGTCGATTTTTTCATCCGTCGATTGTAATCCGATTTCCGATAGCTTGAAGTCGAATCGTGTTGATGAGCTTTCTTTCCAGTTGATCCTTTCGTAGCCCTCTGGTTCGACGTAGAAACCCCTCATCATTGTATGGGGACGTCTCACCATAGACAAGACGGCGCTGATAACTCGTCATAAAAGCGAAACCAGTCTTTTTGAACGATTCGAGCTAAATATAGGCATTCATTGAGATTAGGGTTAGTTGGGCAAAATGGCTAAAAAATACTGGATAATTTGAAATTAATGACGACATGGCAGGGACAAAGATAGATGGAAATGATGAGTGGATATTCATCTACCGGTGTATAGAGTCATGTGTGCTATCGGACCTCCAGTCCTCCGCAGGACCATGAGTCTTGAAACAAACGGATATTCAACATTTTCGTATACGGTAGCTCCAGCAGTGTGTGTACGCTACGTCGTCGTAGTCGTCCAGGGTGCCACCGTGCGCTTTTCCAGTGCCTAATTCCCCCTCCTAGTACTTCGGCTTGCCAACGACAAAAAGCGTTTATGTCTCAGGTCCGAAAACTTGCATAATGTCTCTTGTGATTAGAATCGCAGCTCAGGCACTGATTCCAGGTTTATCAGGTGTTATTTTGTTCGAAATTAGGCAAAAAGGCGCTTGAAAATACGCCAAAATTTCCTTTGTAAGATCGGCCGTGGTACGACGGAAAGACACAGTGCTTCAAGGAGAGCCAAAATGCGAGAGAGTAGGTGATACGTGAGAGGGCGCAAACGACGCGTATTCCGCGGCTGATAAAGCGTCGGCGGCAGCGTATAAGGCAAGGCCCTAGCGTCCTTACTGCGCACTTTTGAGCCGAGGTAATGTCCCGGCTCCGGCGCCGGGGACCCCTTCTCATTCTAGAAGGGACTGCTTCTTGCCACCTGATCCCGACCCATGGCTTTAATATTTATTTACCTGCTCCGTGGAATACGTTTTTTCCATCGCTTCGATAACCTCGATCTTCTGTCGTTCTTTCTTCCCAATGGTTTTCTCGACATCGTCTTTTGACATTTGAGGAATTTCAGATTTCATACGATTCTAAATACAGTACTCCTCGTTATGGAAATTCTGTATTCCAGTGAGCTTCCAAGTTGTTTACGCTGGAAAGGCGAATTTGAGACCTAAAAAATTGAGACTCACCAAGGCCTTTCTCATTCCAGCCGTCGCTCCGCTCACTTCCAGAAGCAGTTCAAGCAGAGCGTTCCTCTCGGGATCCCCGTTAACTGGATCCGTAGATAAGGATATTTCCGGAGATAGCAGCGATACCTGAAACGAATTCCTTCACGATACAGTATCGAGATTAATATTTGATTTGAATTTTCTTCGAAATCTAGGGCTACCTTCTTGCAGTACAGCAGTACCTACAAGTAGGTATGATCGACTAAACTTAATAATTGATAACAGCTTGCACAGCTGTCAAAATCACCTCATTGTCGGCACGGTTGGTGTTCCCGATTCTTGGTGATAACAAGCGAACCGTTTTGTTACCGACGACATTCCCTGTGGCTGCTGCCACAAGTTTGACACCTGAAAGTCGTCGTTTCAGAGAAGTTGCCAATTTTCATGTACCGCCAACCTTGTGCTAGAAATCCATTCAGTTGACGAATTTTTCTATCGGCGTCTTTCAACGAGTCACGATCCACACCTTTGTCGTTCCGTAACGGATATTCTGCTAACGGATACAGCGGCATTTCCGCTCTGTAAAAGAAAAACAAGATCACGCCATAGAAAAGCGCATAGTTAAGTGGTAGTTCATTCAATGCATGCCCATACACCATTATTTATAACATTCGAAGTCTATTGGCAGTATCGAAAAGGTCTGCAAAAGCAAACAATAATACTAAAAAATTTCAGAAGTGAATCTCGAATGATTGCACACGGATATTTTCGTTGCACTTCTTTTGGCGTGAACATAATTTTGAACAGTTAGGTAGCATCTTTGGAAAGTTAGGCAATCCTTTTCCGCTTAAAGGACGAATTTACGATGGAAAAGCAACCCATTCCAAATTGAGGTAGAGATGGTGAGTAGTACCAGAAAGAAAGCGAAACCACGAAAAACGGCCCAGAACCGGAGAAATGGGACCCCTTCCTTGTCCGTTGATTTGAGCATTGATGGGACTCTCATCGCTTTGCCCTCTTCAACCCTACGCTCTCTCAGCTATCTAATCACTCGCCACCTATTGTACTACGGCGAGTGATCAGACGATCGGTGGGCGGAGATCGCCGAACTCGCCAACTTTGAGCCATGCTAGATCTCAGAGGTCAAATCTTTCGATGCCGATTGCGTGTCTGTCCGCACCCTCAAGAGATTCACCGCTCTCCCCACTAGGCGATTTCTCCCTTCTTCGACCTTCGTTCTTTCCGTGCAATCCTCCTTTAAAGACAGGTCGGGATTGCTGTGGAAATAGCCCTCCGATAGAAATGTAATACGACGCGAAGCGGGCAGCATAAACACGAATCTTAGGGAGATCATACGAAAGCCGAAGCTCTAAGCTCAAGGAAGCAGCATAGCGCGTGAGTTCCACGGCGCATCAGGAGCAAGCAGCCATTTGCTTAGCTGAGGCTTCAAATCACAAGCTTTACGGCTTACCTCGACAACATTGTAGACAGACGATTCCGCTTTTCATTGTGATCCCTGTATTGTATCAATTCTTTGGCCAGTGATCTCCACCTGAAATACCTCGATGAAGGGCTTCTACACTAACAATAAGGAGCTCCATCGAAGCACTTACCCTCTCAAGGCGCACGGTTACTTCTCTTTCGCAGTGCAGCGTTTTTCGTAAGGATGCAGGACAGCGTCTCTCGAAGGATACCCTTTTCGGAAGTTAGTGGTAGGATTTGTGTCTTGTGGCTGATGCGATCGCGCCAAAAGTCTGAGTACATTCCAGTCTTAGCACAAGAATCTAGTTATGGGCTAATTCTTGCACTCCAGGCGCGATTCGCCTCTCTTCGTTTTTCAGGACAATTGTTGTGCTAGCCAGTACACTTACCAAGCACCGTTTCACCTTGTTCAGCTCTTGGTGAAATACTGCTCACTGCGATGAGGCGGTTAGCCGACTGGACCGGGAGTCAGGGTGAGATCGTATTCCGGTGGTGTAACTGGGAGCGCGATTGCCGAGAACGAGAGTTTGCGGTAAATCGCCTGCCGGCCTAAGGCTGGAGAATTTCGACATTAAATCCAACGACTTTTCGCACAGTGAACTGCTTGCAAACAGCAGTTACCAACCAAATTTGGTATTATGTAGTGCTTGCAAGATGTTTGGAATTTCTCACCGTCTTTTCGGAATTGACTGTTCGTGTCCTTGCACAAATGCCTTTTGATCGCTCAGCGCTTTCCTCCTGAAGATGCGGACTTCTTAAAATTAAGTTGGAGTGCTCTATACCTCAGAACAAGCATCAGGAAATGAAATACAGTAACACAGCCGCTTAGCTGCTTTTCTAGAGGGCAAGAACAAAGCGGTGAGTTGAAGGCAGCAAGCCCCCCCCACTTCCAGTCTGACTTATCAGTTGTAGCAGAAGCTGTCTTGTCGGGGTACCATATTCTGCAAAACCCGTGAGAGTTGCAGCGACGGCACAGCGAGGTGCCGAGAACATATCATCGCTATCAGGTCTAGGTTATGGAAAAAACTCAGCGGAATGGTGTCTCGATGGTGTGGTCGGTAGCGCGATTGCTCAGAAAACGCAGAGTACGGGTTCGCACTTCCATGCGGTACTGAAGTGTTTTGTCCCTAACCCAGCATTTATGCGTAACGACTTTTTGCATGGCGAATCGCCGCAGAAATGACTATTCGATGGAATCACCTAGATTCCACCAAATGCCAGGCAGTACCCGTGGTTCTGGCCAGCATCGCGCTCTGTTGGAGGTGGTCTATCGACTACTATGATTATTTAGACGTGTATGTGATAGTTTACAAAACCGCCATCATTGTACGAGCAATACAGTAATAAGAATGAGATCATGCTTCAAATCAATGTTCTTGTTTACGGGGGCTTCGAGCCAGTTAACTTCACGTCGACAACCGCTCCATCGAGGCTCACGAAAAATCGTCTTCTCCAGCCATTGAGCCATGGGGAAAACTGACCGCGTATATTTACGTAACTGACAATCCGCTAGAAGACGGGATCATCTCGTTTGGCGGCGACTGTATTCCGTTTCTTTTTTTTTTGTTTTTTTTTTTTTTTTCATGTGGATTATCGCGGATGAAATTCTATCTGTATTTCGAGCAACGACTACTGTAAAATATTAGGGGCTCAGTACCGCTTCTGTGAGCCCTTCTCCAAGGGACCATAAAATTAATTTGAAATTTGATTGCTCAAGATAAATAGACTCGATAACCACAAGTGGGCCATTTAGTAACCTAGGAATGATTGTGAAACTCTACGAACTAACTGCCAAAAGACGAAGTGGTGGTCGGAAACAATATAAGGAAAATTAGGAGAGAAAGAGAATAAATGGATGGTCAAATGTGGTCCATCGCAGTAGAACTGACCTACTCGACGCAGTACTTTGTGCCTGGTCCTTTTCTTCACTCTTCGTCTCCTTTCCATGAGAGCAACAAAACACTTGGCATCGTCGGAAAAGGTTTTTGAGGCAGCGAAGCACTGCTCAATTTTCGTTCGACTTGATCTCGAAAGTGAATTCATTCTGAAAAGAGGATATGCCATTGGTTGGGTCCAGGAGATCCAGAAGACATACCGTTCTTTGGCCATGCTACGTAGTACTGCCGTGAACGCTTTGGTTGTCATATTGGCATAGAACTCTTCACCAAACTCTCGTGTGACCGGTAAGAATCAACTTATTTTCGTCAAAATTCTTCCTGAGATGCTCAGGAATATCCTTTTCATCCAATCCATTGCAGAAAGTTGAAAGTAGAATCACTAAAATGAAACTAAAATAACTCAATACCAATACTAAAGTATTTAATATTTCATATTGATATTTATCATGAGTTATTAAGCTAACCAGGAAATGCTTTGAACTTTCCATGGAACTTTGAAAGGAGGCTCAGGTCTGGAAAGCTGATTACAATTATGGATCTAAAATCATCATGGGAGGCATGGATGTAGCTGGCGTGGAACCACTCTGCCTAGAAACTCCAGCATTTCTAGTTTGTTCTATGGAGTCCTTTTCGGAAATCAATTCCACTGGCTATGTGTGGTCTACGGACAACTTGAACTCGGTCCTTTAAACCGCCTCAACTTGATGCTCTCGTCTGCGCTCTCTCGCCTTATCAGCGGCTCATGACCACTGTGATCTCACACATTCAAACTTTTGCCACACTGTAATTGGCTCACCCACCTCGGAGTCCCTCCCCTTACAAGGCTTAGTCCTAGGGCTCTCACCTCCTCCTTGGGATTTGGAGCCGAGCCAGGCGCCGTTCTCTAATCGTCTGTGCTCTGGCCATTCTCGGCAGAGAACATGGGGAAAGTTCAAGTAGTCACAATCGCTATGTGAATAGGTCATTCGATTGATCCTCTAGTTTTGGTGGATCATAATTTAAAGGCAACAATAAGGTCGTAGGTTGGGTTCTCTGCATAGAGGTGTAGATGGATTCCCCATCTGGAATCCTGTGAATAGCCGGCCAGTTCGATGTGCCTCCAAATAATGTCACACGTGCTGCTGGGAAAGTCATCACCTACATGTAGCGCTACTTTTGCCTGCCGCTCATCTCCACAGCCTGCGAGACGAGCTTGGCAAGCTGTAA